AGAGAAATATCTATTGATGATTGTAGCATACCAAAGTAGAACAAGAATTTTCATTTTAAGAAACTTGCAGTGTATTTGAACATTACCGATGTCTCTAGGAACATGATAACCCCAGGAAAGGTCGGCTTTATTTGATTATGACAGTTTTTTGAACTGATTAAAACTTTTTTTCAATTAATTTATAAAATTAAAAAAAAGATGTTTTAGGAAGAAAAATATTGAAGAATAATTCAGAGAAACACCCTGCAGTCTGTACCTATACTTTTTGTCAATTATTTATCAGGTTCAGTGGTCATTGCTTTATTTTTGGTAATCTTTCACCTGTTTTCATGAACTGGATAGCTGACCAGCTGATCTGTCATTACATATATAGGTACATATTATTGGTCAGGAAGGGGCCTCCCAGTTGTTCATAATTTGTATAATGATTAAACACTGAGACTTTGTTCTCAAATATGTAATGTTATAGCCAGTCAATGTCTTTCAGGAAACACACAATTAACATGCAGAGTGACTCATTTTAATTAATTAGACCAAGTAACAGCTACTGGTGTAAAGAATAATATAGGGTGATATATGAAAATAGCAAGCGTCTTCTCTCAAAGTATGTGCCACTATGTGCTAGTGATCTAATGCAGAGGGGGCCATGAATTATTGAATGGGATTTGTACCATGGGTGATTCCCCACAGAGACAGATATACTGGTGGGTGCCGGAATTATACACGGACTAACCACATATCATGTCTGTGCCTTTAACAGGTAGAAAATGTGGGGCAAGTAAAGAAAAGATCTAATCTGCTTGAACTTTTGACAGATTTGTACAATAACAGCTTTGTAGTTTTCCCTAAGCTGAGTTTTACACATTGTGTTTTTTCTGAATTACTTAAATGTGAGCTTGAATAGTTCGGTAATATCATATGTTTACATTTTTTTGTCTGTTCATTATTGAATTGTTGACATTTTCCTTGACCAGAGGGAAATTCCATTGCATCTCTAATGTAGAAAAGCGTTAGACTATGATTATCATTGTAATTATGTGTCATTGACCCCTGGGGGCACTTGAGGTCGCGAGATACAAATTACGGACTAGAAGTGTGCCACCTTGCAGGTGGTGCCAGTATTTGTGGAGTACTTTATGATGGACTATACAGGGCCACCTGAAGTTGATGTATATAGTTTTTATGTAGAGGATCAGAGTGTACATGTTATTGTATTACATCAGTTTATAAAACTAATCTCTATTACTACTGTTGACAATGTGACTAACATGTGAGGAATGTCATTTCCATAAATCCTTTAAAATTGCACTGAGGGGTATATTTCTTTTGCAATAAAAACTATTTTTTCAAAAATATGAGTAAATCAATAACCATTCAAACTACATACTACAAACTACATATTTTATAATTCTTCTGAAACAATTTTTTTATTTAGATGTAAATTGTTAGAGCAACATTTTGTTCAGTTGCTAAAATTTTGTACAGCTAGTGTATGTATTTGGATATTTCTTCTAGGGAAATAACTTTTTATAAAAATAAAATTAAGATGTTAGATTTTTCATGGATAAAATATGTTTCCTAAGGGCAAAAGACAACATTACCAATCCAATGTATTTTTAAGATCGAGTAAATGAACTTAAAACATTGGTTAAGATGATGAATACTAATAAAACATGAAATAAACACTGGTGTTAAATATTTGGCTGAAGGCTAATATAGTGTCATGATAATTTATGAAAAAAATATTCTTGATGTTGCTCTTTAGATGCAAGTATTAGCCAATAAATGATCTTAATTTAACAGTTCTAGTCAATTTTGTGCCAATTCAAAAGTGTTCATGTATACTAGGTAAATATTATTAACATGTCATATGGATGTACTTTCAGGGCATTTAGATTTCCAGGTAAATATATTTTTTAAAGCAAGTTTTTAAGAGGAAAACACACTATATATAGTCTAAAATAATATGTATTTATAGTTTTGTCTCTCTTAAAAAATGTTGCCATGGTATTATTCATCTTAATATTCTGTAGAGTAAACAGGAATGTAATTATCATATTTTCAATTTTGATGGCCATTTTCTGTCATTGATTATCATCATTATTCAGAAATGAGGACATCCCATAATTGACTGAATTAAATTTTAAGGTTGGTTGTATTCTAGGAATGCAGTTTTAACAAAAGAAAAAGTTGTTCATGGGTTCTTGATTTCAATTCAGAGCTGTAATGATGTTAAGATGCAGATCAAAGTCTCTGGTACTTGTAATGTGTGCATGCAAAAAGGAATGCGCACATTTTTGAATTCATTAACTTGTTTGAATAAAATCTGAATATTGAATTTTGGAAAATTCAAAATGATAAATTTATGTGTAGGTATGCATTTAATAATTGTGAGGTGATGTAACTTGCGATAGATCTATACCTGTAGAAAACTGGTTAAAATGATTCAGAAAATATAAAGTGACAAGAGGGTTTATCTCTTCTACTGTAATTCTTTCTGTGCCTTGCATGACAGTCAATTTAATGAACTGGACCTTTACAATATGATTTGAACCATGACCTTTATTCATCTTATGGTCATTAATCATAGTAACATACTCGGACACCAATTTACTACATGATGTCACTACTTGGTGATCATGACCCATAGGATTACCTTGAATCAAAACTTGACACATTTATAACCCATCAGAAACAACATTCTCATGTTTTGAATACATTTTAAGCAAAAGTTCTTGAGTTATAACCAGGACACCATTTCACCTCTTTGCTGTATAATGTGGCTTTAAATAGATCAAGACACACCTTTGATAGAATAAAAAGAAAATACAGAAAAAAAAGATCAAAGGCAGCTTGAATAACAGTGCTGATCCATTCAATATGGGATGAGCTGATCCCAAGAGATGAGCTGATCCCAAGAGAATATAAAGTGTAGCTTTTTGGGATAGCTGATCCCAAGAGAATATAAAGTGTAGCTTTTGGGGATAGGTGATCCAAGAGAGTACATGTATAAAGTGTAGCTTTGGGGGATAGCTGACCTAAGAAAATGTAAAATATAGCTTTTGGGGTAGCTGTTATCCAAGAGAGTATAAAAATGTAGCTTTTGGGGATAGCTGATCCAAGAGAGTATAAAGTGTAGCTTTTAGAAGGTAGCCTGTCCAAGTGAGACCATAATCCTTTTGGTTAAAGGGGTTGTTTCAAATTAGATCAGTTAGATAAAGAATTTTCATGCAACTTTTCTGCTTTGATAAATTACTACAAATTGTTTGTGTTTAAGGCATGTATTTTCAGGCCTATTGTCATAGAATTGTTCTGTCATCTTGGTCTAAACCTTACATTATTGTGTACATGAGTATATGTTTCTGTTATTCCGTATACATTTCTTTGGACCTATAGTGTCTGAATGGATTAGCATAATCACTGGAATGCGGTCATTGGATAGAGCATACATTAAATTTTAATCTCGTGGTGTGTTTAATACTATTACAGTGTCAACACTTCCATTTCTACAAAACCAGTTCCCTTTGAAATAATGATAATAGAAGGAAATTTAAATGAATACTATCTTGCTGTAGTAGTAATTAAGAAACTGTCACACACATGTAACCTGTAATATCCTTATTTGCATCATTTAGTATCATTTGTTTTAGTCAATCTTTATTTTGTGTATTGTACTTTGATGGACAGAGACTATTTCAGTTTACCATAAAACACAGAGCAGTAATAAGATTTCTATAATACTCTCTGCACAGTTTGGCAGTTTGTCAATTTCCAGCATTTTAATGCCTTTACTGTCTAATAGACCAGTGCAATATAAACAACAGAAAATTTTAGCCTTAAAAATTGATCTTTGGGTCTTACTTGCTCTACATTCTTACACAGCTAGATGGTCTTTATGAACAATCATATTTTGGAATGAAATATAAAAAAGTTTGCCTCTGTATACTACTACACTTTTGAAATAAATAAAAAAGATTTTAAGATAGATCAGCAACTTTCTTCTGATCCATGTATATTCCAAATTCATGCATTTGTAATTTCCCAATTAAAATATAGTTAGGCCATTAAACATAAAAAAAGAAGATAATTTGACATGATAGATCAGTCCAAATGAACAAGTCTTAACAAAGCAGAAAGGTAAAAACTTCACATGAATTGAAATCATAATTATATGTGCATCTATTTTCAATTCTTTAGGTCTAAATTTGGAGCCCCCCACCTTTAAGTGGTGGCTTCTCAATGAGAGTGAAAAAATTCTCAAGGAAGCATTAAACAAAAAAAAAAACCCAAAACTTAAACAAATCTGAAGAAATCAGTGGTTTATTAAAATATAAGATAATGATATAGGAAAAATCTGATCCCTGTTTTGTTTAAATGAAGTAAATGAAAGTAAAAAGTCTGAATTTAACAATAGTCTTAAAAAGTGTGAAAGAAAAAATCCCAATTGTCACATTTTATGCAGAGTCTTGCAGTAAAAAACTTAGTTTTGCTCATATTTGAATATTCCTTGATTGGTGGAATGTATGTATTTAAATAGGGATCAAAAGTGGTTTATTATCCAACACCTAAAGTAGCGTGCCTGATTATGATTTGTCAGAAAAATTTCTGGTTGGTGTTTTATGGCACAAAGTGTAAATGATAGGAGGCCACTATAAAGTGACTTAAATTTCATTGCAGTGGGTTGAAATGTTTTTGCTGTTTATAAAAGACAGTTTAGAATCTGTGCAGCTTTACAATTCATTTTTTTGTGCATCAATTTACAGACAGGCTTATTTCAATATAAGAAAACTTTTAAAGCTTAAGCTGTTCTGCCTTTAGATGTTTCAGTACCCAATAATCTATTTGTCTGTACTCTTCCAATGCACATTAAACTTTATATAGGGAATTGGATCATTTGTGGAAAGGTCATGTAATAATTGTGCAGAAGAGTTCTCTTATTTGATGCATAGTCTTAATATACTAATGCCGCATTTAGTGATGATGCATTCTATTCTCTGTAGATGGAGCTGAGACACAAATGATTAGATGTCGGTAATGGATGTACAGAATTTCGAGAAGGGTCGCATCAAGGCCCTTCAGGATGAGAGAGTCTACATTCAGAAGAAAACCTTCACCAAATGGGCCAATGCCTTCCTGGAAAAGGTAAGGATTTCCTGTCACATTCGGATTAGAATTTTTTGTTGTTTCTTCTGCTGCAATGATCTTTGACCATAGGCTATAATGAAGGAAATAAGACTGGAGAGCCACCCAATGTAGAAAGCAATAACCGATTATTTTGAAACCAAGACTTTTGGTACACTTGTAAAGCAGCTTAATTTTGAAAGTCATCTATAGGAGGCAAAGTTGCAATTGGGATTCTTCCAAGTGGATAGGATAATAATGACAATTTAAGCAGTGCACATCAAACTAGGTTAACCAGGAGAGAACAATTGTGCAAGGGTTGCCCAAGAAAACAGTATATATTGTGCTTTAATTTCCACAAACAACATTCCCACAACTATATACAGTTTATAATGTAGTTTTTGAGAATTAAGGTTAAATATCTTACTTCACGAAAGCCTGATTTGTTTGCTTCTGGCTATTGAAGGGGGGAGGGGAGAGGGAGGGGGGTGTGCAGCTACAGATTGTCATTATGTTTTTGTTACTTTTTTTAATTAAAAATTTTTTTTTCGTAAAACCTTTCTGTTAATTTTGATTGAGAAATTTGATTATTAAAAGATGTAAGTTCTGAGAAACATCTGTCATTCGCTCAAAAAATTTACTAGCCCCTTCAAGTTCAATGTTTTCAAACATGGTATTCAACATATATATATATACCCACATTCAGCCTTTATCGTTTTGAATATTCTGTAGGACTTTTAAAATTCAGCAGACATTTTTTTTGACAAGTAAGCTCCACTTGGATTGTAAATTTTAAAAGATCAACAAGTTACACTTGCTGACTTGAGATTTGTAGATATTCAGATACATACATGATCAGCCTATCTCCTATCTTCAGGGCCTTTCTTTTTTCAGTGGGGAAAAAAGCTATGTACATTTTCAATTTGTTTAAAGAATTGCATGTCAGAAGATCATGCATTTAATTGTATGAATAACCCTGGAAGGAAAAAAGCATTTGACACAAAATTGTACCGTGTTTGGTCTGTGTTTAGAAATGGGATTATGATCTACAAATGGTTAAAGCTATAATTACTTTAGGTATTTATGTATCTTTTATGAGAAGTTTTTACTAAATCTCCATTTATGGTATTTAGTGTGGAGATTGTAGTAAACATGATAGAAGCACTAAAATTATTTCTGGGTGTGAGAATTTAAGACTGTTCTTATCTAGTTTGAATATTATATATAATCAAGAGCTCTGTAGATTTTAGTATTTATTTACACTAGCAGATCTAAAATTATAGAGGATTGTATGAGTCTTTAATTAGCAGTGGTTTAATAAAAATACCTTAAGATGAAGCCATATTTAAAGAAAAAAAATTGATTGCCTTCTCTTGACCTACTGCATGGCTGAAAATGGCCAGACTCAATCAAAATTCTTTTAAATCTCCAGGAAACCTTTTTTTTGGGGGGGGGGGGAATTCTGAAATTTTATTTCCCTATCAGCCACTATTTTAATTCATAAATACATAATCTGTTAATAGATTTTGTAAATTCAACATTGTTACAGACAATTTTAGAATCCAAATTTTCTCCACCTAAGTTACAGAGAGGGCAAACATTTTACAGATGGCCTGATGGTAAAAATTATGAACAGATCCTGACATGTTGCTGCTCTATTGACTATTCACTGAAAAAAAAACAAAAAAAACAACAACAACAACTATATATTGATCAATTCCAATCATGAATGGAAATTTCTTAAATCTGCATGATTTTTTTTTACTGACAAGACAAGAGATTGTACATGAAGCAAATTTTTGAATGTTACAATTGAAGTGAATCTTTTGATTTTAAAATTAAGTGTTGCTTTTACACAAATGTAAGATTGCTTTATGTTTGCGATAAACAGTAAAGGTTCTGCCAGGATATTTCATTAGTTATAATTCTGCATATATAAACATTAACAAATTCTTTGATAGATAATTGTGCAATAATGATTCACTTTCAAATTGGATAGCTATCATTAGGCTATGGATAATCCGATATGGTACGTGTACCGTATATATATATATGTATCATATATGTGACAAGGAATGAAGTGTTGTTATGCAAGAGGCCTGATAAACTGTGCACTTTTATTTCTCTCATGGATCAAAGCCAGCAGATTGTAGTCAGTAGCTGATGTACTGATTGTTTTTCAGGTATTTGAAGCACCTGTAAATAAAGCGTGCTACTTACACAGGTTCTTCTACCTCATACCTAACTCACTAAGAAGATATGAAAAAGATGAATGGACATCATTACGATTAGCTGCGAAACTTTTTTTTTGTAGAAGTTTTTAATATTGACCTGCCGTTTATGATCCTGTTTATTTTACAATTCTTGTCTGAATGGACTTCCTTCATAAGTTGCAAGTCAGACATTCCATACTTATTGTGTACATAACAAAAGACTAGATTACAGTGTCACAGTGTGCTTGATAAATTTACGCGAAAGAATTTTAGTTCCCTGACTTTGATTGATAGTCTCAAAAATAGGAAAAAATGTGTTTATTTTAGCCAAAAGAGTGGATAATATACCAAAGCAGATTTTGATGAATCTCCATTTATGCAAACATACATTCTTTATTGACACACAGAGGTGTCAATTGACTTGTTAACTATAGTACTTCAGCATTGGACAGCGTAATACTACATATCAAACTTCCTCTAACAGGCAGCTTAGGGTGTCCCAGGCATTGTAATCAATGGCAGCTTTATGGACTTTCCTATCACCAAATTAGGATAGATGGGGCTTTTATTCACCCAACTGACCATGGTTGACTGGCAACATGACTTGTGAATGATTGTAATATTGGTCTCGGTCACTCTCTTGTTAATGTTAACTGGACATTTTTGAATTGTGAACTATGAAATGAGAATGTATTCACATTTTATCAAGTTTTTTAAAATTATTTAAGTAAAATCTTGCTAAAATGTTAATTGTGTACTTGTTGCAGTTTTAGACTTTATTTTATCTTAACTGGGATACAACTTATTTTCAGTCTTGTTTTGTAGCCACTAGCTAACTACATACCGGTAATTGCTACAAATTTTAATACTGCGATTGGCACCATGTTGTAAGGGTTGTGGTGCCAGTTTTCTGTGTCTTGAAAAACTTTGTCCTTAATATTTCTGTGTAATGAAAATATCAATATATTAAGTACCCCCATTCTAAGGGTTGGGGAAAAGAATGCTTAGGGGTTTTGGTCATTGACTGAATCTCTTCAGATAAACCCCCAAAATTACACCTTGTTTGACTTATCAGGAAATCTACACCATTAGAAACAAAATCATGTGTTCATGCTCCACCAAGAATCAATTTAATCACCTGACCCCAATCTTTTGAGACCATCTTCGTCATTGTAGGTTCTACTATATACTAAAGGGACACCCCGTCCCAGTGATAGCATAGACTTCAAAAGAAAAAACAGACAACACTTGTAGACTTTGAATTGCAAGACTGCAAAATAGCAAAACAGTACAACACTTGTAGACTTTGAATTGCAAGCCTGCACAATAGCATTATTGCAAATACCTTTTCCAAATATAGAGAGTTGACATAAATGTAAGAGATTCATTAAAGCTTTACAGATTTCTGATAAAACTCACACATACCCCCAAAAAACTATGAATTAAAAACATTAAGTTGAATGTGCAGAGCTTAATCAATTTACTTGCTGTAAGTATATCTGCAGTTGAATATTTTCAGCTGAAACACCCTTAATATATGAAATTTATGAGGTGTGACGATGAAGGCCATTTAAATTAAAACCAAGTTGACCCAAAAAAGGATGCATATAGCACAAAAAAACTTGATTTTTTAAATACCTTAGATCTTAGATAAAAAAAAAGTCTCTTTCACAACTTCGGAATTTGACACACAATAAGAAATATAGTAAAAGAAATGTGATCAGATTTAATCTTATTTTGTTAATATTTCTCGGTTCCCAGATCTTTATTTGATATCATATTTGAAAATCATTTCTTGCTAATGAATTTAGTTGTTTGAAATAGATATGGAACCCCTGATATTTATTAGCTTCCGAAAAATTTTTTATTAAAAATTTAATTGCATCCTTTTCAAACTCTTTTTGTAGTAGTCAAACAAATCCATCAAGATTTGAATTTTAGTTCTCTTTCTCTTGCAGATGCAGCAACAAATGCATTTTGTATGTATGATAGACTGTTGCTTTTAACATACTTTAAATTCCTGTCTTGTAGGCCCGTCTTGAAATCAAAGACTTATTCACGGACTTGGCTGATGGCAAGATTTTGATGAAACTCCTGGAGATCATCTCAGGAGAACATCTTGGGAAACCAAACAAAGGGCTTATGAGAGTACAAAAAGTGGAGAATTTAAGCAGATGTCTGAAATTTTTAGCTACAAAGGTAAATTTATCAGCAGAAGATTTTGAAACTGTTAAAGTGGCCATTGTTTTAAGTAAGGACACGAAAACAGAGAACAGATATTGATATGCATAAATTGTTTCAATCAATCAAATCAATTGTACCATTATTGTGAATTAGATTAATAGAAGTGATTTCTTTTCTTTTACCATGTTTACCTGTTGATCTTTTAGTATTACATACTGTATAATTTTACAGGTATATTTTGAGAACATTGGAGCTGAAGACATCGTAGATGGCAACCCTCGTCTTATCCTAGGTTTGATTTGGACCATTATTCTGAGGTTCCAGATCCAAGAGATAGAAATTGAAGTGGTACAACATTTGTTAATTTTTTCATTGCCAAAATAAATATTTACAGTTACCTGGATAATTAATCAAAACATAACCTTTTCTTGAAATGCAAGGACAGAAATATGCAATGATTATCTAACAATGTAGTTTTTTTTCACGAAGAACAGTGACACATGTCAAACATGTGATTTTTCTCCACTTAATTCTTCATGGACAAGGAAATGCACTTCATTAACCATAAAAGATACAAAACAACTTTTACGTAGGTTACTGTCAAACAGTTTCATTTCATGTTTAATTGTCCATACAGATTTAACCTTGGTCTGTTGTAAACAACCCTGATATGAATATGGACCAAAAATATACATTTAAAATATATTTGCTTATTTTGTTTTGGGATTTTTTTTTGATAACTAATTGATATTGTAGGATGAAGAATCTAGTGAGAAAAGGTCTGCTAAGGATGCCCTCCTTCTTTGGTGTCAGAGGAAAACTGCAGGGTAAGAGAAAGAACAAAAGAAAGTGAAGGCATTAGAGTGCATCATTGTCTCACACCTTTGTAAGATAAATCATTCCTTGATGAACTACTATAAAGTGTGTTGACCTTTCATAGATCTGTACCTGTAAAGTTCTTAGTGAATCAGGTCTGCAGGACTGGAGTCTGATTCAGTGATGAAAATGATTTCTTATGAGCAAGATTTACCCTTAAACATGTTAAAACTTAATAAAATTTTTTTTACAGTTTTATAAACATAAAATAAAAAAAAATCGGGGGTTCAATAGAACATGATTGAAGAGGTTTGAATTACGTTATCAAATGAAGGAATGCTGTTATTTGCTAACTTAGGAATTGATTAATGGTGGCATAATGCACATGTGACATCTTGCAGTAATTGATTTGTAAGAAGACATCATAGATTGACAGTAGAGGTTGTTGTTTACAGATATATAGGACAATGGCAGCCTTAAACATTGTGTGTTCAGAAATTACAAGATGTTAAATGAAAATGACATTTTTTCATGTTCCTAAGTCATGCTGTATTATTAAATGTGGTAGGGCCTTTTTAATGTGTCAACTAAATACTGAGTAGGCTTTTTGATTTGATGTGATCAGAAAATTAAAAGCATTCTTATTAGAGTGATGCATCCTTTCTTCTTAATGAACAATTACTGTTGATATCATGTCGTTTACTTCAGAAAGTATGAAAGGTTCAAAATGAAGTACATATTTAAGTGCTTAATGACCCCCCCCCCCCCTTCTCAGCCCGCCATGTGGTATTTACTTAATTTTTAGGATACAGAGATACATAATATTAGTTACTGTAAATGCCTCAATAGGGTTATATTGAGGCATTTGATTTTTTCTTCATTGCAGAGAAATATGGGGAGTGGAAAACATTGACTCTTTGCTAGTTGTAATCAACATTGCTTTTCAACAAGTATTAGAAAGTTGAGGGCTGGAAACTGATTGAGATATGAATTAAACATTTCCTTAGTTTCCACCATGTTTACAGTACATGTATATGAAATGTGATATTAGCTAGAAGAAAGACCACAAGTTAATCTTTATTTTCTGGAGAGATGAGACAGAAATTTGTCATAGTAATTTACTACAGCGGGGAGATTTGGGGAGAACAAAGTCATAGTATCTGCTATTGTCCCTTCACATTCATTGAATTCCAATAATACAATGTATAATTCTGATTAAGCCCCCGTTTGATGGATTGGGGATCTGGCATCTTTGGGGATCTTACCTGACGGCTTTTATTCTACCTTTCTGATATTTTGATGGGACACTTTATGATTATTGATGGAGACTTATTTATGGGCAATTATAATACAATTTTTGGGTATTCAATTTTTTTTTTTCAGAAACATATGAATTCTATTAGGTTTCAAACTGTTAATGATTTTTCCTGTTTTGAATCAATTTTTGGCACTGACACTTTATGGTAATAGAACTCTTGTCTTTCCCCAGACAATATGTTTAAGTACTGTCTGCTAAATAACATAAAATAAGTCATTAATAAATTAACAATTATTGTTACAAAAAAAAGTTGCTTATGATTTCATGGAAAACTATTTAAAGATTTCAACATATAAATAAATGCCAAATCAAACCAAGTCTTTTTTCCCCCAGAAAGTCTGATTTAAAAAATACCTTTTATTGGTAAAAATTATATTGTCTTAAAATATTTTGTAAAGCTAATGTGGACTTTGATTTACCGGTATATATTACAATTGATCATTAAAATTTTGAAGTCAAGGTTACTACAATACAGTGGTAAAGTGTTGTATGTCCCATGTGTGCACAATTGGCCTTTGTTTGTGACAAAGAGATTCACTCACCACTGTGTATATGATGTAGTAAGTATGGATATAGTAAATATGAATGTAATATTCTGATAATAAATATAGATACTTTTTCAAAACTAGAGGTAGTTACAATGCATACTTGAGGAAACACTACAAAATGTAATTAATGACTGTTTTTTAATTGATGACACAAGTACCTTTATAATATGACTCATTTATATGAAAAAAAAATTATAATAATACGCAGTAAAGTAAAGTAACTATTCCCTAATAAATGCTGAAATAGCAATATGCAGAATTTAATGGGTTTTTTATGATTGAAGTAAATTTCTGGACCATACACTACCATATGAGTTTAATTTGCATGCTTTATTCCACAGGAAATCGGGTGTTAGCAGGTAGTGTAAGGCATTTGGATTTCACCCTTGAATTTTGTGTTTGTCATAGTTGCTACTACCAATTGAAAGATAATTTGTTTGGCTTGATGTTAAAATTCCATCTTACATGCACTCAGAAGTTTTCATAGAATGTTAGATAAATGAAAAATTTTATCAACAGCTATTAAAACTATATTATATAAATGCATACATATATGCAAATGAAATCTTAATTAGTTCTGAAATAGGAGGTACAGTACAAATTTTGTAGTGCTATTTTGCCACACACCTGCATTCATGTTTATCACTTGTGTGTCCTTGTCTGCATTCTGTCCAAACCAACCATAAAGATATACCCTAATAAGAACACCCACAGATCAAATAATGAGGAATGAAATATGGATAAAATCTGTTGTTTTCATTACATGATGGGAATTTTTAAAGTGATTATATTTTAGGTATCCTGGGGTCCAGATCACTAACTTCACAGGCAGCTGGAGAAATGGACTGGGATTTAATGCTCTTATTCACGCTCATAGGTAACAAAGTCTGACAGAGTTATCTTTCTTTGAATGCTTATTAAAGAAAAATTTAATGGTTGGTGACATGTTTTAAAAAAGTTCAATAATAAGCAGAAAATCCTCAATAATGAATCATAAATTAAATAATTGATAAAGACTTGTATTAAAACTACTTTTTTCCTTGAATAGACCAGACCTGATAGATTACGATTCCTTACACCCCGATGATCACCTCGGAAATCTTAATAATGCCTTCAACATAGCAGCTAATGAGCTAGGGATCCCTAAGATTCTAGATGCTGAAGGTAGGATGATTGGATGTGAAATGTAGGAAGTTTGTAGCATATGTAAAACTCCCTACTTAACAGAGACAGAGGAAGATTATTTAGTTTTAAAATAAAAAACACTTTTGATGGTCCTTGATTGGAAGGTGAATGATAATATACTTCATTACATGATTTTCAGAAATAACTGAGTAATTCTGATTTTACTGCAAGACCTTTATTTGTAGATGTTGATGTCCAGCGTCCAGATGAGAAATCCATTATTACTTATGTCGCCTCATACTACCATTACTTTGCCAAAATGAAGAGCGAAATGACTGGAGGAAAAAGAATAGCTAAGGCATGATGGGAAACTGAATATTTTTGATTTTCTTTGCATATAACTCACTTTCTGTAACCATAAATTGTCAAAGACATTTCTAAATCAAAAATCCCTGTGTTTCCAAAAGTTGGTGTTATTAATAATAAATGAATATTTTTCAAATCAAGTTCATTTAATCTCTACTTTTTCCCCTCTCTATTGTTTTGTATATTTATTGATAATTTAGGATTCTTTCCATTTTAAAATTTGGAAGCTTGACCAGCCTAGGAAGTGAATTTTTATGATTTTGTTTTGACAGATTCTGGGATTGATGAAGGACGTGGAGAAGATGGTTGACGACTATGAGACCTTGACCTCCAGCCTGTTGGAGTGGATACGGTACACCATCCAGCACCTGAACGACAGAAACTTCCCTAACTCCCTGGACGGAGTACAGAAGGAGCTGGCAAAATTCAAAACATACATAACACGGGAAAAACCACCAAAGTAAGCTTGTCAAAAGGTTGCAGTGTAACAAAATACATCTTTTAAAAGCCTCTTTTAAGGACCTGATTTTAGTTACAGACCTGTAAATTTTACCTTATGCAGCTGTTACATGTTTTATAGATGCATTATGTGGCTTTTCACTGTTATAGTGATGTGCACTTCATTATATGACTACAGTTTTTGAAAATATAATAAAAATTTTGATTTGTGTTACAGATACAGAGAGAGAGGAAACATAGAGGCCCAGTTCTTTAACATTCAGGCCAAGCTGAAGGCTAACGGACAGAAGTTGTACACACCCCCTGAAGGTCAGCTGATACATGACATTGAGAGCGCCTGGATTCGTCTCGAGAAAGCTGAGCATGAGCGAGAGGTGGCACTCAGAGACGAGATGATCAGGTATCGGCTCAAAAATAAGGAGATAATCAACCAGAAAATGTTTGGAAACTCAAATATTTAATTGTTTGGTTTAATTTAAACTTTTATAATAAAATTTTAATATTTGATGTTTTTTTCTTTTCAGACAAGAACGTCTTGAACAACTGGCTGAGAGATTTCAGAGAAAGGTTATTATTATAAATATAATACTCTATATTTGAGTACTATGAAATTGAATCTTAATGTACAAATTTTACGGAAGTTAAAATTCATTTTAATAAATTCAGGAAACAGATACTATGAGTTATTGAAAATGGATACACCACAGTCAGTCTTCTCTTTGTCAGTAATGTTTTGGAGATTGATACAATATCATACAGTTGCAAATGATGACATAAAATTTACCATACTTCATTTCAAGTACTTAGGCAGCTGTAAATATTAAGCTGGATGTGTGCATTTCCTGATATAAGCTACATGTACTTCCACATGTTGGAAATAAACTAGATAATATCATATTGATATAAAACCCTGCTATTTTTGAATTTCATGGGAAAATGATAGTTTGATATTCCCATTACTTTAAAGCCAAGAGAAGTAAAGATATTCTGATTCTACATTTATTTTTAATCAGTTTTATCTGTCTCTCTTCATCTATCTGTCCTTTGTTTGTAATGATAATTATATACATGTGCTGTAGATTATAACTTTATATTTTAGATTTTGAGTTAACCAGTTGAAATCTTGAATGAAGCAAGCTAATGTCATTATTTTGTTAGGCTGAGATTCGAGAGTCCTGGCTCAATGATATGAGTATGATCCTGGAGGAGAACATTGTGGCTAACAACTCAGCTCAAGCAGAGGCAGCCATTAAAAAACACGAAGCTATCAGCGCAGAAATCCTGGCCAGGGTATACTTTCTATATTTTAGATGAATATTTATACAGTAATTGTCAGCCTGCATTTCAGGCTCAGTATGGACATTCTATACAAATGAGCTAATCAAAGCACATACAATGTTTGTATACAATTGTAAGAAGAATTATATCCATTCTCTGGTACAGCCTATATTCATTATGATGTCATGTTGTTGCGTCATAATCCAAAAAGAATTGTGAATATTACAGGAAGACAGATTCCAGTCATTAAACAGTTTGGCCAGAGAACTTGTAGAGGGAAACTATCACGCCAAAGATCGAGTTAAAACCATGTAAGGATTTCATTATAAAATTATAATACAAATGAACAGCATCAAAGTTTCAGCCTTTTTCCTAACCTGTCTTTGCAAACCATATAAAAGTTGTTAAAAGAATGAATTGTTCAATCTTTATCTTTTAAAAGTATTTTTCCACTTTAAAAAAAAATTAAAAAACAAGCATGGAAAAAAAACTTTCCTGCTTTGAATACTGTCAATTTTAATTTTCGTTTTGAAATATGAAGAGACCCACAAATTTACATTCTTCTATAAAAATTGTGTTCAAGACAATGCTACATTTCAGCAATGAATCAGATTCCTGACATTTCTTAATTCTTAATCTATGAAAATTTGACTTCTGCAAAAGATTTTATAATATGATATTTCTTCCATGTCATACAATCATTTGATAGATTCTGTAAGTTTACCAGCCCATTCAAATATCGTAAACCTAAACAACATATTAATTAAAGGCTGTTGTTGTAGAGATCAAACGATAATGAAGAAGTGGCGAGAACTGTTAGATAAGTTGGAGGGAAGAAAGAACTTGCTCTCTGGATACAAGAACACAATGAATATGTTCAGAGAAATTGAGAACATTCAGGAGGAGCTAACTGAAATTGAGGTAGGTTTTTACCTACTGAACTCCCCCCCCCCCCCCCCCCCCACCCCTTTCTCTCTCTCTTTTCATTAAGAGTTTACATCCACAAGTTTATAATATGGTATCCATGTTATTTTACAGTCCAAACTGAATGTTAAGGACACAGGTAAACATCTACAGGCTACAGAGGACTTCCTACAGCAGCACAGCCTGCTGGAAACCCAGCTGAAATCCCTGTCTAAGAGAGTCCGGAACCTCAACAGGAGGTCCAAACAGATAGAGCCGAGCCACCAGGAGGGAGGGGTCCTAGAGAAGAGGCTGGAGGACCTCAATAAGGACCTGGATAGGTACCGCAGGCTTTCATAAAGTCGAATAATTGGATAAGTGTTTAGATTAGAAATTTAGATTAGAATTTCAATACAATAAGTGATGGTTAAAACAACTGTTAGGATTGTAAACTTACTGATTTTGAAATAAATAAGATAAATTATAGAGGATTAAAGTATTTTATTGCTTTTAGTATACAGATAGTAAGAATTGCTGATTATGTTACAGGGTGAATGGTAAGAGTGAGGACAGGAAGAAGGCCCTGGAGGTAGTGAAGAAGTATTACCAGTTCCTACAGGACGCGGAGGAGGAAGAGCGATGGGCCCAGGAGAGGATTGATCACTGTCGCTCCACCAACACTGGGAAAGACCTTAACGCGGCACTCATACTGCTCAAAAGGCACGAGGTCAGTAGGAATGTTAGCAAAATGTTAGGAATTCATCTAATGGAAGATAAAGTAAAAATATATGTTATAAACATACAATATTCTGTTTTACATTTCAGGCTTTAGAGGCAGAGATGCATGGTCGTTGGCCTCGCTGTGAAGCAATCTGTGCCACTGGTCAGGACCTGGTAAACAGTGGTCATGGGGCCCGCGCCGAAATAGGGACAAAAATTAATAACCTCATGGACAAGTGGAAATTACTACGGGAACTAGCAGCTCTCAGAAGGACAAAAATTGAAGATGGAATAGAAGCACATCAGGTCAGTCATGCTATTAGTAAATTTTTTCTTTTTAATTCAATTTGGCTACACTTCCATAATTACATTTTGCCTGTCTATAATGTAATAAGTATTCATTCTAATATATGATTTTAGTACTATGCTGATGCCAATGAAGCTGAACTCTGGATGAAGGAGAAAATGCCTCTGGTTACAAGTGATGATTATGGAAGGGATGAAATGGGATCAAAGGTTTGGATTCTCTTTATACATAAATATGGATTGCACTTATTTCTGATGTTTTACTTTCAAAGATTCAAAGTTGCATATATTATTTAGTTATTACATGTATACAATATCATTTTAAAGTCCTATAATCATAAATATACTGTCAGAGATGTGGAATTTATGTTACAGTAATTGAGTAGATTTTAGGTCTCTAGCTGAGTATATTATAATCTGGTAAGGGGGTAGTGTCAGATTTGATTTTAAAACTACAGCATTTAAAAATATACACATCTTGATTTATATCTCTCAGGAAAGGTTAATGAATTCTTTAATTTTTTGGCAGGCCCTGCTCTCCAGACACAATCGCTTGGAGGGAGAAATCCGCAGCTTCAGGACAGAGATCAAACGTTTGGAGGAACTGGCTCAGCTAATGACAAAGGCTGCCACAGAACATAATGTATGTCATCTTTGTAGAATAAGGGTCCCTGTCTCAATTTCTCTGTTATTATGCCTCTGGCTTAAAAAGCAGGGGATATGTGGTGATGGGGTGTCCATCCGTCTGTCCTTCTGTCTAATTGTCTGTTTCATTATACCACTGACATTCCTTCTAGGGATGGGTATCGCCAGTAAATTTTGTATCACAATGCGTCATATGTATAAATTTTTTTTCCAAAATAAATTGCAGTTATATCATGATACGAATCATGCAATTATTTAGATGTGAAGATTTTTGATATCCATTTTTTGACACACAGATTTCCCCAGAAAAATTTATGCCTCAAGAAAATGGTGACAAGTCGGACGAGGAGCTAGTGGAAGAGGTGATAGAGGTTCCTCATGAGGTGGAGGTCGAGGAAATTCGGGAGCGCGAGGTCATGCAGGACGTCGTGGAAACCCGCAAAATTCCTCAGGTCAAGGCCATGTATGCCTATAAAGGACAGGGGATGAAGATTGAGAAAGCAGAGGTGGGTTACATGTTTTAGATCCATAGGCTGTACATACTCAGGTGTTACCTGCAGTCTGTGTACATATTTTTCATTGCATGATGCTTAGATTAACCAGTAAGGCTTTGATTTTACAAACATGTTCCATGTCATGACGAAGCTCAATAGTAGTTTTTAGCTTAGCTCACCAGTAAAAGAGGGTTCCAGTGATTTTCTTGATAACTCATGTCCATTGTCTGCCTGATTTTTTGTGTCTGTTTTTTTTTTTTAATAAATGGGGGGGGGGTGAGATAACTAGGGTAAAATGGTAAAATACATTTAAGAAAAATGTAGGACTTTCAAATGACTTCAACATATCCGTGGTTTTCAAGATGTGGATGTTCAAAATATAAAAGTTCCACTGTATTCATATATCATTTCTTCTCCGAAAAATTAAAAACGCTTCCCTAAAAAAAATCTTAAGCTCAACATTACTGCCATCTTAATATATGTAGAATGGTAATGTCTAATCTTTATTACCTGACACTGTGAAGTATATTTTCTCCACTTTCATTATGTGATCCTTGCATGACACATCAGATGCAATTAAAAAAAAACTTCTTTTATCTGACTTTCCAATGCTTTAGAAATCTGAAACAATTCTGAAATTGGGCTGCAAGTTTACATTCACTCAAAATTCTCAAGGAAAATATTTCTATGGTTGAAATATATAATTTTTTTAATATGGGTAAATAATTTTTTTAATAAATAATTAAATATATATACTGTAGATCACTAAATTTTTTTGACACCTTATCTTCATGAGATAGTACAAGCAAGACAACATTTTCACAAATTGTGGTTATTGCTCTGTATCATCTGAAGGAATATTATTATACATGGAAGTTAAATTTTTCCATTACGTGAAATTAAAGTAATTTTGATTCTAATTTATTTATTTAAAAGAATATTTTATTCACATGAGAAAAGGTATTGTTTTCACTTTCAATTTACTGTAGATCACTAAATTTTCGCGACACCTTATTTTCCCGAGATAGTCTTTCACTCTTTATTAACGAGACATAATTTACACAAATTGTTGTTTTTCATCTATTTAATCGTAAGGAATACTTTTAAACGCAAGAATGAAATTTTCGCGAGCTCATTGTCTCGCGTAATTACACGAAAATAAAGTTCTCGCGTATAAAACGTGATTTACAGTATATCAATTTCTCTGGGTACCCATATTCCTTAATTTTTTGTAATATTAATTTCCCTGGGTACCTTTATACCTTAATTTGTAATGTTACAAAACAAGGAACATTCTGTAAACTAAATGATTAATTGCTAAAATTATTGTTATTTCATTTCATCATAAAATTTCAGCATTTGAAAATGAATCCATTTTATGAGTTTGATAGAGACTGTATTTTTCCTTCAATCAAAATTTAATCTAATCAATATTTTGTTCACAGATGGGCAGGAGACTCATCCTATTTTTAGCCCTCTCGCATTATCAGTTTTAATAATAAATAAACAATAAAAGCAAAAAGTAGAAAATATGCCAATTTTTTCTTATGATGATAGAAAAAGTATTTTCTTTGTTTTTTTCCTTTAAAATGCTTATAAAGAACATAAACACTTCCTTTTAGTACCAAGCTGTCCAAAGCACATAAAACAGGAAACAGAACGGGGAGATTCATAATCAAAGATATTGTAATCTGAACAAAAATCTGACCTAAAGGAAGATTTTATGAACTGTAGGGATTTAAAAATAAAAGTTTAAATTGAGATCCAATTTAAAGCAATGTTTCTTCCCTATTTTAAGATTTGAAAAGGACTTGATTTAGTTTACCTACTTTGCCGTAGAACCATCATATTATGCTCTACTGTTTTGATTTAATGTGTTCTTTGAATGGTGCACAAAAAGGAAATGCAAGCTAATGTCAATACAATAAAAATATATGGTCATAGCCTTTATAAAAATATTTTAAAAAAACTCATGTAACTCAGCTGATTATTAAGATCCTTTTTCTTTGTATGATGTGTAATGATTTCTATTTATTCCGTGCCCTTTGTGTCTGCTGTCCGTAATGCTTTCAAATGTTCTTTTATTCGTTTTGATGATGTGGGTGCCTTTGTTGTGTGAGCTGATCATTAAGCGAGGTTTAATTGTCACACATCCCGATCTGATGTAACTGTCATCACATGTATACTTCTAGCTGTGGATACCGACATAATGGGCTCCGTGATAGCCTTTACTCAGGAAGCATCATCTTTGAGCTTTCTTGTTTGAAGCCATGATAAATGGGTACAATCGTAATTTCAGGTTTTTATTTGAAGAGCATGTAGAATTTTCATTATAAAATACATGTTTCAAAGAAGTATTCAACAAGTTTCTGCTTTCAGATTTAGTTTGAAAATGGGAAAATAACCCACTTATTAGTTATTCTCTGAGATGACCGAAGTGCCTTTTGTGTGATGGCCAAGACTCCTGGCTATTTTAATGAATCTGTAAAATTAATTTCAGGAATGGTAGACAGATAATTAATTCAGTATTAGCACGGTACTGTGTCACATCATTAGTTCAAGGCCAATATTCTGAAGTCCCTCTATAGAATAGAGAGATTCTACAGCTGATATTTGCTTATTTTGGTATATGAATCTAAAATGATATCCTTGGGACAGATGGGATGATGGAGTTTCATGGATAGGATTGTAGAATAAAATAAATTAGATGTCAGGATATTAATAGATTAATGATGATCAAGTTATCCTTGTTATTTTTCCTGGGGGATAGAAAAAATCCCTCTAAGTATTTTCAAAGATAAATGTTTAAATTATTAAATAAATGCTTTGCCTTTTGGATCCCTTAATAACAGTGTGTACTCTCATGGATTGCAACCATTAAGCAGGACTTAAACTTTTTCTTCAGTAACATTGAATGTGGAATGTCACATTTCTTTTAATGTTGTCGGTAGAGTGCTCAGCCTGTGGTTGGAAGGTCCTTGGTTCAAACCTCAACTGCAGCAAACTTAAGTCAACAAAGAATGGGCAGCACTTTTCCTTCACTAATGGTATAGCACTTTTAAGTGAAAGTTGCAGGTCTTAAGATAATGCCTTGAAAACTAAGGCCCCCTATTAAAATGTCATACAGGCATTTGTACTTTGTAGAAGCCTCAAGGTACCCAATAAAGATCTTAAACTGAAGCCCTGCTTCATCAGTTATAGAGATGTCTTTCAGTGAAATAATCTTGCATGGGGATGTAAAATAACAATCAATCAATAAGAAATGTTTTTCATTTTTGAAAATTTCGTGAAAGATGTGATAAACTTTAGATTTTTCCACAAAGACATTTATTTTTCATGAAGAGCTTCAAGAAGTCTACAGTTCATTCACATCTTTATGAATTTTTCATTAATCAAAAGTGTATAATTTTTCTACATAAAGAGATTATGAACTGAAAACAATAAATTATTTAGCTGTATGGATACAATGATAAATCTATAAAAGGCAACAGTGGTACTAAAGGCATATTGAAAAATCAGCATTTTCCTTTTTCTCATCATATTTATTTCTGACTCAGACCGGAAAACAAGGTACTTTTCTTTTTATATAGTGCAATACAAATATATAAAGGAGACACGTAACATTCATGTCTTAGACTAATGAACATATTTATATAAAGTTTTATTATGATGAAGTCTTTGGTTAGTACAAAGATAGACTATAAAATACATACCGGTAATTCTCTATTGATTTTCAATTGTTATGAATGAGTTTTGGCATTCTTACTAAGGCACAGAATGATCTGTTGATTAATAATGTTTCTCCTCTGACCATATTTATTTCCTTTTAGTAAATAAATGTGGACTACGTAAATGTATGATTTCATTCACCACTAAAACTTTAATGAAGTAGCTGTTAAAAACTTAAAATAGAATATTAAAAAATCATTTCAATTCTTTGCCTCCCCTACAATTTTTTACCTATTAAAATGAAACTTGGTACAGATCTAAGCATTAATTGATAAGATATTAAGTTATTATGTTAAGTTAGGGAGTTTTGTTGTAATTAACCACATTATAGTTATCATTAAAATTTGACAAACACACTGATGTATTATAACAGAAGGGGGGAGAACTCTTAAAAAAAATGTTTGAAAGTTGATTGCAGTATACCAGTAGGTCCTAGTCTCATCAGATACTTAAGAAAGGGAGACTGCTAATTTATCAAAGAATCTTTTATTTTATAAAATCATTCAGTAAATGTATACTCTTCAAAAAAAGAAACGCATAGTAGAATTTTAGTGACACATTGAACAGAAAGATAATTTAGTAAAATGGTGCATTGATAAAACAGAAATGTGGTACGCAACAGGAATACTATCTAAATGTCATAATTACTCAATAATTTTAAAATTATAGTCAGTTTAAGACCATTAAAGATCAATATCTGGTATGCCCCCGCAGACACAAATGATAGCCACAAACGGCATCTAATGGAAGCAAATGTGTGTAATAAAAACTGTATAAGAATACTCTCTCACTCCAAATGTTGAACTTTAGTCAGCTGTTGCAGAGTCTGGGGATGTGATTGTCTTTTGCAAATCATGTCAATCCATTTCGTCCAATGCTGCTTAATTTGGATTAAATCTAGCAATTTAGATGACTGTGACTGAAACAGGTTGTTGTTTCTTTGCAAGAATAGGTGTGTCAAACGAGCCATATGTGGCTGTGTATTGTGAGATTGCAATACGGCTCTAGGATGCTGCAAAATTGAATGGGTATGTGTAGGTAGAACATGGTCAGAGTACCTTTTTCCATCAAAGTCCATTGAATTCGAACTAAATCAATCTTACTTTCTTATAATACCGTTTTCCATATCATTACACTACCACCACCAACTTTTTTAACGTCCTGGAGGCAGTTATCTGTCTAACATTTATTACAAAGCATTATCACTCTAAAACTTATAAGAGGCTTTCAGATAAACATTCTGGACTAGTAGGTTAACCAAAATGTTCAGCAGTGATGTTGTG